TCTTGGTCACCCAAGCGTGACAGTTAAATGTCTGGGGCCAACATCCTGGGGGCCACTGGGGCTACATGTGACAGTATTCAAGGTCCTTTAGTCTACTTCCAGCAGTGCTAGAAGTAGCAAGCTCTTTTACACATAACAATGTTAGGTCTTCTGTGTTAATTAATTTTTGTATAGGTGGTAAGAGAGTTTAATCTCCACTGTACTCATAATAACAAGATAGCAATTTAGAAAAACATTAAAAATCCTTCCCTGTTATAAATTATCAAACTAGGGAGACTTCAAGTCCAACCATATAATTTATCATGTTTAAGTATCTGAATAGAGTTTTAACAAAATAAAATGGTATTTTCAAGAAAGTTAAATTTTTTGGTTGAGGGAGAAGGAGTGATAATACAGCAGTTGTCATGCTTGCCGCTTATCTGGGTTCAATCCCCAACAGCCCATAGTCCCTCCTGAGTACCACCAGATGTGGGCCCAAAATCAAAGAAATAAATAATATGAAATAAAATTTTGTGGAAAAATCTTTTAAATGACAGTATTTAACTAAATGAAGCAAAATTAAGTTTAAAAGAAATTTAACCTTAATGTTTCATATACTACAAATAAAGAGATAAGAAAATTAAATTTTGATGTATTTGCACCTACACATACATTACATTTGAGGCTACATTTGTACTGATTTGCATATACATAGTGTGTTTTAGATACATATGAGTGAAGTTTATAATAAAAATATTATCTGTAAATATATGCAGCTTATTCTTTCTATTTAACTGACTTTTGTTTTTTTGGAGATCCATACCCAGGAGTGCTCAGGGTTTATTTAAGGTTATGTTCTCAAATGTGACAAAATTGATTTTTTATTTTTTTTATATTTTAATGTTATATTAAATTACTACTCAAAAATTTTTGGGATAAAAATAACACATGGGAATCCCTGCTTTAGTTTTGGGGAAAAATGCAAAATTATTTTTACTACTAGCTGATATTATTTCAATAATACAATAATAAATACAATTTAATAGCAAACCCAAATAAAAATTATTAAGTGTGTAACATGAGTGAGAACTCAGAATAGTGCATTAAATCATAGGATATGATAGAAAGGTAAAAGTTCAAGTTCTCACAGAAGTTCAAAAAAAATCTCTCTGATATAAACATCCCACTTATTTATAACCTAGTTTCCAAAACAGTGATTCTGTTTCCAAATTTCAAATAGCTTATATGTCAATAATCAATGTTGGCATTGTTTTCCTTCTCCTATTCATTTATTTTAGTTTATTTGAGGCACTTACCACTTTTGGCTGAGAGGGTCAGTGGCCACTCCTGCTTCCACTTGGACAATCAGGCCAGCAGTTCAATGCAGTGATGGAGGACAAAGGGCTGCCTGGGGCCTCTGGCAATGAAGTCCTTTGGGGCCTAGCCCGCTGCACCCTGCAGAGCTAGGAATGCTCTCTTAGGCTATGCTCTCTTCAGGCCTCTCTGTTATTTCTTTTATGTGGATTCATTGAGTTAGGCTTCAAGTAAGTTTTTGAGAAAGACAGCTTTTTTTCCCTCATCTCTTCTTCTTCATGTTCCATATTTCCCTAAGCAGAATATGACTGCATGCATTGTTCTGCAGCTATATATATGACTCAGGACTTGTGAGGACATATTTTGTTTCAAAAAATGTAAATAACAATAACAACTGGAGATTCCAACAAAAGCAGCAACAGAAAACATGAAAGAAAATATACTGTTGATTTTAAAAAGCAATGAAAATTTTTTTTTTATCGAAACTCATTTTATTTAATTGTGAAAAATAAGTATGTTGATATTTCTACAAGAAATATTGAGACTGAATGTTAGGTACACTGTAATTATTATCTAGGCACTAGAATTATGAGAGCTTTCCCCCACACCCTGCCCATGTGTAGTTTTCTATAGATTTTTAAAATATTGATATAATGACATTTCAAAAATCTTAAAAATAATGTATTATAACTTGTAAATTTAGGAGGTTAACAAAGATTGACAGGAAAATTACTATCACACTAATTTATTACTTTTAAATGGTAATGAACAAAATAGAACAATAGGCTTAATGAGGAAATTTATGTCAATAAGCTTTCTCTCCTCATCTATTAATTAATCATTATAACTTTTTAATTTGCATCTGGAGTCAAAATTCTTCATTGTACAAGGTAGGTAAGGCCTTCAATACAGCTGATTATACATTAGTAAGTGATGAATAAAAAGAGAATACTGAAGATAGATAAATTATGTTAAATAGCTATATGATTAAATTGCATAAATTATTAAGTTATCATAATATTACTTACCTTGTCATCAGATGTCTAAAAATACTCATATTTTCTTCCTAATATCACAATCAATTGAATTTTCTAAGTTTTAAAACATAGATTGATGTGACATAGAAGGTGAGGAAGCTATGTAAATTTCTGTCATATCTTAGTATCTTAGAGAAGGCGTGTAGAAGCTATCACAATTTAGAGAGTAGAGACCTATTCCATTACTTTGGATTGCAAGGATATTCAGTTTGACAGAAAGCTTAGTAACCGGCTTTTAGTTTCTTCTATTGAGAAGATAAACTGATGATAGTGAACTCTGAACCTGGACCTGACATCTTCATCATTGATTTACAGTAAAGCCTGTGGAGAAAAGGTCACCAGGCTGGTTGCGCTACTAATGTGGTTCACAGAGAAGGTCATTTGTGTATACTGCAACTTCTCATCATTTTAGAAGCGTAATAAATTTGGAAACCAGAAGTTAACATTTTCAGAAAACTATCACAGTGCTAAAGAGTTCAAAGTATTTATTTTTGATAACTAGAAAATAAAATGCCTCTTGCTCTGAAGATTTCCATCTAAATTGCTCTGCTAAAGTATAATCAGCGTTCAGTCAAAAATACTCAGGTGGAGGCTGAGATGAGATAAATAAATTTCAAAAGATGAATATCGTTAGGTCTTTTGTGAAAAATTGCCAATGAAATTAGTTTCAGAATGATACGAATATAGTGTTTTCTTCTAAAATATTTTTTAACATATCAAACAAGAATAATATCTATTCCTCCAACCCATTCTCTATTCAATGTACTGATGGTACAGGTCTAAATTGAGGTGACTCTAAGTACAAGCATTCTATAAAATGTACACACTCACACACACATATGCACACACACATTCACACACATGTTAAAATTAAGGTTTTTTCCTTCTTCCCAGAATATTATCACTTGTGACAATAGCTGTGGTTATAGAATTCAGGGGCTGAAAATTTGAATTAGGAAGAAAGGGTAAAGAAAGCCAACTATGCAGTCCTTTAGCCAACATTCTCCATGAATATAGACAAGCTTTATATCAAAACTCTGGATTACCCACTCTTACCTGAAGCCTTCTCATTCAAGTCACCTTAAACCTTCAAACAGGATGTCCAGGTCCCTTTTAAATTGTGTACAAAGTTGCCCATGTACTCTCAAAGTCTGATATCCAGGTACTCAATGGGCTATTTTAAAGTTGACAGTGAGCAATTGTGACTGTGGGCCTCACCATTCAGGTCTGTTCTACTGTGGTACACAATTTCCTCAGCATCCCTGTCCCCAATTCTGAACATTTGGCAGCAGCACTAGCCTGCTCAGACTTTGTACAACAATGTTTGTCAAATGCATGTTTAACAGAAATCTGTTTTTAAATCTAATACCTGCTTGATTTTGGCATAACAATTATTGCTAAAGGCTGGCAAACACAAGGACTGACAATAATGAAAGTAAGCTCGGTTCTAAAACTGCTATTGAGTACTTATAACTGTGATCTCTGTTTACTACTCAGGTCCATGAAGACTTTGATAAGACAGTACTGCCAGGCACCAATGTGTATGAAGCCTTAACCAGAAATTAGGTTTCTAGATCTAAGTGTGATAGCTACTAAGGGTGTTAAAGGTAAAGGCCTTCCCGTTGATCATCTATTTGCTCGAGCGGGCCCAGTAACGTCTCCATTGGATACTTTGATGTCACTGTGTTTGGCATATCAAATACGTCACGGGTAGCTTGCCAGGCTCTGTTGAGTGGGCGAGATACTCTCGGTAGCTTGCCGGGCTCTCTGAGAGGGGCGGAGGAATCAAACTCGAGTCGGCCATGTTGATTGTGTGCAAGGCAAACGCCCTACCGCTGTGCTATCGCTCCAGCCCTTTAGTTGAGACTTTGTTGTCACTGTGTTTGGCATATCGAATATGTCACGGGTAGCTTGCCAGTCTCTGTTGAGTGGGCGAGATATTTTCTGTAGCTTGCCAGGCTCTCCTGAGAGGGACGGAGGAATTGAACTCGGGTCCGCCATGTTGGCTGCGTGCAAGGCATTCTACACGAGTATCATTGAAATATTAAAAAACAAAGATTCTAATGTATCTGTGATAGCAACAAGCAAAATATAACCACATACAAAGGAATCTGCAGAGTTGACCAAAAGATTTTTAAGCAAACAAACATAAAGGCATTCATTGAAACATTCATTAAAACATTCATTGACACTAACAAGCTCTGTGAAAGATATTGAAATGGTACTCTCAAAAGAGTAAATAATTCCCACTCAGAAGTGCTAAAATACTTCTAAGCATCATTAAAGGAGAGGAGAAAAATACCATCATGTGGTATTGAGTATGGCACTCACTAATGGTGTACATGGGGTCTCTCTACTTGATTAAGAGAGATTAAAAACCATAGTAATTAATCATCACAAATCGATTTTATTGATTAATCATCAGCTATATGTTTTAAGCAGTTAAAACATTTAGCAATTAATCATCATATATTGACTTTTATTGTTTTATTAAATATCAGCTTTTCTTCCTTAAAGACACTGGATTTTTCAAGATCTGGGATTACCTTAGGGACTCCATATACAGAAATGCCATCTGTTACAGGAGGCAGGGTGGAAATAAGTGACAAGCACTGATTTGGGCATCTCAATCCTCTACTGAGTGGAACCACTCCTTGGAGCACAGAAGCACAGATGTCCGTCAGCATAATGTTGCTCTTCTGAAGGTAGAAGCAGACCCTGTTCTGCCTTGGCTACTCTTGCTCTCGGAGGTCTTAACCAGTGAAAGGCAGCATGGTACTGAGCTGCCTCACTTTCTCAGTCTTTTGAACCAGCGACCTTCTGGCTCAACACTCTCCTATTAGGAAAATGAATGGCAAGCATTTATTTAGTTAATAGTTCTTCCTTTTTCTCTTGCTTTTCCTTCTAGGACCTTATAATGTGACTATCATTTCCCTTGATGTTGTCCCATTCATCACCATTTCATGTTTCATTTTGTTTTCATATTAATCATTTTGATAGTATTATCCACATGATGACCAGCAATCTGTGACTGCAGATCCTAACAGCTACTTAACTGCTGAACCAACTCTGCTCATTTCAGCAACACCTTCAATGCAGATGGAGAGAAACTGCCTACAGAGACCTCTTTGTTGGAAGAAAGTCTCAAAAGACTTTTCCACCATAAACCTAATACACAGAGTTTTTAATGCACGAACAACAAAAAGACACATTCAAAATACCAAAGAACACCCTATTGGTGAAAACGAGGAATAAATAGGCAAAGAGAAAAATCAAATCATCAAGAAATTTGTGAGAAGTCCCACATCACTTGTACTCTGAGAAAAGCTATTAAAGGAATAACAAGGTCTCATTTTCTATCACCCTAATAAAACTGAAGAGGTTGGTCAGACAAAACTAAAAGACATGTAAAGGAGGCACTTGGGAATAATTGATAGACTTTGATCACAGCAATTTAGTGATTTCTATACACCATATTTATGAGTTATGCCTGAACACAGAGCGAGGAGAAAGTACTGAGCACTGCTAGGTGTTACAAAAATAAAAAATAAAAAAGCTATGATAAGGACCAGAGAGATAGTGTAGAGTGTAAGGTGCTTGTCTTTTAATCTTGCCTTTCAATCCTTTCAATTAGACAATCTCAGCTTAATTTGTGGAACTGCATTCCTCCCTTCCTCTGCTACAGAACTTTCAGAAAAGATCCTGAGCAAAGAGCAAGGAGTAACCCCCGAAAACTTAAGAGTGTGGTCCCAACGTGCCCCAGCCCTCAATTTAAGGCCAACTACTTCAGCAGGATTAATATGGCAGAGTTATAAACAAATATGCATAAACTGGACTGGGATTTTCTTGAGAAATTCACACTAAAGTGACACCCACACACTTGTTTGTAAACACTAAAAACATTTTCATTTATTTCATCCACTTCTAATTTTAAGCAAAAGGGAACGTATTCATGAAAACAAATAGCCTTGAAAAGGGAAGTGTTGAGGAAGCCATAGTTTGTCAAAATAAAAAACAAGCAAACAAACAAAAAACCTATGGCTTCCTCAAGCTGAACACTAAAGAGCAGGAAGATGAGATGTAAATTACAGATAAATTAAAGAAATAAGAGATTTAAAATAGAAAATAAAATATCACTTCTTGAATATATTCCCCTATACATTACATAAAAAGCTACTGTCAATATAAATCAATAGAGTAATATGGCAGATCACAAAATATATGCACATTGATTTACTAACTCTATTGCTTTCCTAAATGAAAATAGCAAAGTAGAAGAGAAACCATTAAAAAGAAACAATAAGGAATTAGACATATAGCACTGCAGGTAAGATTTTTGCTTTGCACACAGGCAAACCATGTTTGGCATTTCCAAGTGTGACTCAAAAGTAAACAAATGAAACAATAAAAATAATTATTACAAATACTACACGAGCCTGGTAAGCTACCGAGAGTTTCTCACCCACACAGCAAAACCTGGAAAGCTACCCATGACATATTCAATATGCCAAACACAGTAACAACAAGTCTCAAAATGGAGACGTTACTGGGCCCGCTCAAACAAATCGATGAACAACTGGAGGAGACTTACAGTTACAGTTACAATTATGTCAATTATGTCAAAAGTTCAGTATCTAGATATCAACTAAACAAAGGAGGTGAATGACCTAAACATAAAATACAGAACGTATCACTTTTAAAATGAATAAAATAAGACATAAAATAGGAAAACTTTCCATTTTTATGGAGTAAAAGAATTAACATTATTATAGCCATACTATCAGAACATTTTGGAGCTTCACTGCAATTCCTAGCAAAATTCCAATGACATTTTTCAAGGATTTAGTATAAATACAGCTAAAATGTATATGGAACCACTATCATCCCAAATAGACAAAACAATCTTGAGATGACGAAAGAATGCATCAAGTCCCACAAACTTAAAGCTCCATTAATCCAAACAATGTGAAGTATGAATAAAAGCAGATATTCAGAACAATAGAATAGAACTGAGAAGCCAGAAATAATACACAGATAGTTGGGCAGTTGATTTATGAAACAGTAGAGTCAAAATAAAATAATGTATCTTCAAAAACTGGTCTTGGGACAACTGGATAGCCACATAAAAAACAATAAAATTGGATCACTATATCATATAATGCACAAAAGTTAACTCAAATGGGTAAAAGAACTAGTTGTTATATCTATATCCATAAAACATATCAAAAATAGATAAAACACTCAGCAATACTAACTTTAGAGGTATCTTTTATGATTTGACCCTGTTGTTAAAGAAATAAAAAGCAAAAATAAATAAAGAACTACATCAAATTGACTGGAGCGATAGCACAGCGAGTAGGGCATTTGCCTTGCACGTGGCTGATCCAGTCCACCCGAGTCTGATTCCTCCACCCTCTTGGAGATCCCAGGCAAGCTAGTGAGAGTATCTTGATCACATGGCAAAGCCTGGCAAGCTACTTGTGACATATTCGATATGCCAAACACAGTAACAACAAATCTCACAATGTTACTGGGCCCAGTCAAGCAAATCGATGAACAGCGGGAGGACAGTGACAGTGATATCAAATTACTTTTAACTAATAAGAAAACTGTCTAAAATAAAATTACATCCTAATCATTGGAAGAAATATCTGCACAACACACTTCAGTCAAAGGACTGGGATACTCAGGATATTAAAATTAATCATAATTTAAAAACAAGACCACCCCCAAAAATTCCAAGACTCTTCTCCAAAGAATACAGATATATGTAAAAATGTTAATGATCTCTGATTAAAGGGAAATGTAGTTCAGAATGACATTGAGATATCATCTCACACAAACAATGTCTGACAGAGTAGCTATTGTAAAGAAAATTGAAACCCTTATTTCCCTGTGAGTCACACTGTACACTGGTTCATTCAGTTTTGGAAAACAGTATAAAGATATCTCAAAATATTGAGAATAGGACCAAAATTGATCCAGTAATTTCACTTCTAGTATCTGTCCAAAGAACACAAAAACTGAACAGAAGAGATATGGGTACACATATATTCATTGCAGAGGTATTACAATTGTCAACTTACAAAAACTACCATAGCACCCCAATAACATGAGTGGATAAAGAGATGTAGTAAGACAAGAATCTTCATTTTTACCACTATCACTCAATTTAATATTGGAAGTCCTTGTCACATAATTTGGTGAGAAAGTCAAAGGAATTCAAATAGGTAAAGAAAATAAGTGGTTATTGTTTGCATATGGTATGATATTGTACATTGAAAATGCTAAACACTTCACCTCAATTTCCCTAAAATCAATAAGCTGATATAATAAATTTATAGGCTATAAAAACTGATGCATTCTTATATGTAAGCTATAATACAGAAATAAGTACATAAATAAAACTTATCCCATTTATTACCATGTCTAAATACATCTATGAGTCAATTTAACAAAGGAAGTGAAAAACTTATTTAGTGAAAATTATGAATCACTTCTCAGAGAAATAAAATTAACTGTATTTTCAGGCTTTTAAAGTATCAGCATCAGTAAAATAGTTATCTCACCCAGAGAAATTTACTCTTGCAACATAAATCTCACCAAAATTCTAATATAACTTTCTAAGGATGTAGAAATAAGTATTTCTAAACTTTATATGGAACCATTAAACTCCTAGTACAGCCAAGCAATTCTTCAGGAACAAACTGTTGGAGGCATTGTGTTCCTAAATAAGCAGAACTATAGTTATCAAAACTGCTTGGTGCTGGAACGGAGGTAAATTCAAAGATCACTGGAACAATGTTGAAAGGCAAAGTTAAGCCCTGAAATGAATGGGAAGTTAGTTACTTTATGATTAAGGGGTTAGGTACATGAAATGGAACAAGGAGAGCTTCTTCTAGAAATGGTACTGAGAAAACTGAAAAGCAGCAAGTGGGGCTGAGCCTGGGTAGAAATGGAGAAATTAGATCCCTATCTCATGCAATACAAAGATTAATTAAAACTGGATTTAGACCTCATCAACTAATCGGTTTATATAAAACATATTTAGGGAAACATAAGCAAGACGCTCCATGATAATTACACTAGTGGGGTCCTTATTTTTATATTTTTATATTTTTTGGTTTTGAGGCACACTTGACTGTGCTCAGGTCTTAATCCCTGCCTCTGTGCTCATGGATTGCCCCTTGAAGTGTTCTAGAGACCACATGCAGGGGTGGGAATATAATTCAGGATGAGTCAATTGTGTGCAAGGAAAGAATTGTATCTTCTGCACTGCGATTCAGTCCTTTCTTTTAAATTTATTTATTTTTCACAGACCTTATTATCTCATTCTTACTTTGGACAAACTGGCAGGCTACCTACTGAATGTAACCTGCCCACATGGCAGAGTCTGGCAAACTCCCCGTGGTGTACCCAATATGCCAAATACCAGTAACAATGATGGGTCTCATTCTCCTAACCCTGGAAGAGCTTTTAATATGGCATTTTTAAAAAAATCTCAGGGCTAGGATGAAGGAGACATTACTGGGGCCTGCTCGAGGCAATCGACGAACAACAGGATGGTCGTGATCGTGATTTTTCAGAGGAATCTTTAATTATATAACCTTACTGGCTAAGAAAATGAAGCCAATATAAACAAATGGTGCTACATCAAACTAAAATGTTTTTGAGTTGCAAAGAAAATGGTGCCTCCAATAAGAAAGACATCTTATTTATTGGAAGAAAATAGTCTCACATTATATATGAGAATATGGGAAGAGGAAATGAATAAAGAGTTCCTCAAAGGTGACATAAAAGAGATCAA